CTTGACAATTAGACTAGGGTTTGGGGCACATTATGGTGTAGCCAAATTAAATATAGAGGCTGTGAAGGACTGATATTCCCTATTACAGCTTTACACGTTTCGGTGCTGGGCGCGTTACTATACGTGAAAGTTTGATGTAAGCCCATTCAGAGTACTTGCAACCTTGCTTAAAACAATTGCGATCTTCTTCGTAACAAGGCTCACCTGTTCGCGTCTAGCACTTAAAAAGGCTAAGAGCTGTGCAACTAGGCAGCACTTAAAGACTGCGATTCCAGGCCTGTTACCGACGAAAGGCGCGAAAAAGCACTACCCAGCAGATCAATCACCAGTATCAGAAACCGAGGAACTTAAGAACATCCCGCACCCTTCGCAGTCTTCGCAGGTAACTCTGCCACTTTGCTTGCACTTCTGGCAATGATTCCACCCTTTCTTGTCGCAAGATAGGCACCAGTACCAGCCGGAGTTCTTGCAGATGCCGCACTCTTCCTCTTCCTCAGCATCGCTCGAGCTTGAGCTCGAGGAGCTGCCTTTCGTATGCCCCTTGGAGCTATCCTTCCCACTGCCCTTCCTCAGCTGAGTTTGGAGAAAACAGCGACAACAAAAAACGAGGCCCCCTTCCCACAGACCACTCAAGGGAAGGGGAACAAAGCTTTCCAGTAACGGAAGAGCTTCTCCACGCCTTTCGAGCTGTCCATGGAGCCCCTACCCTTGCCCTTATCTTCGCGATCGACGTCGCCTTTTCCGTGGCCCTTGTCATCATCGTGCCCCTTGGAGCTATCCTTGCCACTGCCCCTCTCGTCATGTCCTTTGGAACTATCCTTCCCTGCACCCTTCCTTAGATGCCAAGCTTTGTGCAATAATAGATTTACTAGATCACACAGATTAAGGAACCATCTGGATGTAGCGACCGTGTCACTGGAATGAACAGAAGAAACTGATCCAGCAACAGCAAAGCTTCTCAATGGAGCCCCTACCCTTGCCGGAGTCTTCATAGCCACTTTTGCCTTTTCCATCTCCCTTGTCGTCATAACCTTTGTAGGTGTCTTTTCCATTGCCTTTCCTTAATTGCTGAGGCATGGAACGTAAACGAGAACATCATAAACTGTAAGAGACCCCTTATAGAACCTTTGTAGAAACCACAAAGCAAACAGAGCCATTGTAGAACCTTTACGACCTGACCACAACAAGAAGAAGATCAAGTCTATCCGATGACAGAAGAGCTTCTCCACGCCTTTCGAGCTGTCCATGGAGCCCCTACCCTTGCCTTTATCTTCGCGATCGACGTCGCCTTTTCCGTGGCCCTTGTCATCATCGTGCCCCTTGGAGCTATCCTTGCCACCGCCCTTCTCGTCATGTCCTTTGGAACTATCCTTCCCTGCACCCTTCCTTAGATGCTCATGTCATCGAAGCTCCCTAAACATGTAGATCTTAACAGCACCTAAACCTAAACCCCAAACCATAACCCCCCCTTTTCACGGAATACCATGAAAGGATCAACACTTGCCCACAGCAAAAAAAGGCATCTCTGCGCCCTTGAGAGTTCCTGAATATGCATATACAATATGCATATACTACCACACTATCATATAGTACATAACATTATCATATAGCATATAACATTATAGTATAGTATATAACATTATACTACAGTGTTACATAGTGTTATAGCATACAACATTATATTCTAGTCTTTAACATTATATTATCGTATAGTATACCGTGGTGTCGTAGAGCTTCTCACCGTCGCCACTTGTGGAGCCACGACCCTTGCCAGCAGTGCCTGCAAAAAAGGCGCTGAAGAAATGGAGCCGCTCTACCCTCACAAGATGGCCTCTTTAGGGTTCCTTCAGGGGCTTCTAAATGATCTTCAGATGGGTTTTGTAGGGTTCCTTTAAAAGGTCCTATAAGGGTTCCGACCAGGGTTACGATAAGGGTTTTGTGCATTGACCTGAATAAATAGAAAAGGGTTTTGGGTTACATACTGTACAACTATAATAAGGAAACCCAGTAATCTGTATTAGTCACGATGCTGAAACCCTGCAACCCAGGACAGCCCCTGCTGAGTCCTAAATCCTAAACCTTCAACGACTTCAGCGCTTATTGCCAGCCATAAAACCCCAAACCTTCAACCAAACAGGTTGCCCAAGAGCCTTAAACCTCACAATCACGGCTAAGCCCTTCTAAGCCCTATAAACCCCGAAACCCTGAAGAAAGAAGTCCTACACCCTAAAAGGTCCTGGGATCCGAGAAGTCCTGAATTTTTTTAACCCCTCGCTAGTACAGGGTTTTGGGTTTAGGGTCTAGGGTTTAGAGCTTGGTTGTTCCAGTATAGGGGCCTTGATTGTTGGAATAGGGTTCCTTTCAGGGTTCCGGTTCGAGGGGTCCGTGGGGGTAGGAGCCTGACTTATCAGAGCGGAGTTCTGAGGCATAGCGCATGAGAGTAAAACTTATAGAAGGACTGAGGGGACAGCATTATACGTAGTAGCTAACTAACTGTGCAGGCCCCCTCTGGCTGCAATACAGGTTAAGCTGCCTTGCTTCCTGGATCGCTGTGAGGAATCAAAGAAGAAGGAGTCTGTTCATAGCCTTCCTTTCTAAAGAAAAAAGACCCAAAGCACAAAAAAGTCAGACGCATCCCTATGATTGACCTGCCTTTCTTCTCACACTCATCGCACCACAGCCATCTCTTGCCGTTGCACTTCTTACACCAAATCCATCCGTATCCTCGGATACACTGGAATGTTAAGGTGGTGGGTTGGGGCTTGAGCGCTCATCCCCAAACTCTAGACCGTTCTATCTGAGATGTTTGTGAGATCGTATGGTTTGGGGTTTAGGGTTTAGGGTTCGGGGTTTTGTGGGATCGTATGGTTGTTAATAGAATTCCATCGGATTGAAAGCTTTCAGGGGTTTGGGATGAGGTTTTAAGTCAGGGGTGAGGGCTTAGGGCTGCAAGGATCTTCGAAATTGGGGCTGAGAGTTGGGGGCTTAGGGCTAGGAATAGGGTTTAGGGTTTAGGGCTTTAGGGTTTTAAGGTTTACGGCTCAGGAACAATGGAGTTGGCAAGTGGGTCAAGTAACTGTAGCTATGAGCGCTTCCATAACCCCACTCAAATCTACTCATTCCTATCCTGATCCTCCAAGTCGACTATGCCACTCGCGGAAAGGTCTCAATGTTAGTTTGTTCACAGACGGGAACGCCCTTTATCCACTTTGAGGTTAAGGTCTGTTTAGGGTCAGGGGTTAAGGCTTAGGGTTTCGGGTTTAGGGGTTTTAAGGCTTACGGCGTTGCGGATTCAGAGCTGAACAACAAGTCCAGGTGCCATCACATGGCTTGCAAGTTGTGTTGCCGCGGCCGTCGCATCTCTGGCACTGGGTCAGCACTTCGGAGTATGGTACCTGGGGCCATCGGTTTCAGGAAACAGGTGTAGGATTTAAGGTTTAGGGTTTAGGGAATAGTATTTAAGGTTTAGCATCTGAGGCGTAGGGCTTGGGGTGTTAGGTCTGCGCGGAATGAACTGCTGCGAGCCCGCGCGCCTTATGCGCTTCGGGTACAGGCACCCAGAAACGAACCCAAACCCGCCTAAAACCCTAAAACCCTAAACCCTAAACGCCCTAAACCCTAAACCCTAAACCCTAAACCCAAACCCTAAACCCCAAACCCTGAACCCTAAACCCCCAGGCCAGAATGCTAAGCTCCCAAGCTATCGACCCCCGGAGATCCCCACCCCCTCAACCCTTACGGCGAAAACCCTAAAGCCTGAAGCCCTAAGCCCTCAGCCCCAAACCCTCAACCCCAACTTTTCCGGTGGGTTTAGGGTTTAGGGTGCACCCCTAGGCTCCTAAGTAGTTCCTTTTTGTGGCTTCTATTTAGAATCCTATAAGGTAATCCCAAAAAAGGGGCTACTAAGGAGCCTCTGGGTAGGGTTAAACCCCAAAGCCCAAACCCTCAACTTCGGGGTCTCAAAAGATGGGATGCAGCCAAAAGGAAATGAGGATCCCTTATATAATAAGGTTTAGTGTTTAGGGTTTCGGGTTTCGAGGGTAGTTTTTAAGTCTTTTGGGTTTAGGGTTTAGGGTTTCGGGTTAAGTTCTTAGTGTTTACGGTTTAGGTCTTAATTTGGGATTGCCCTTTGATAAACCCTCGACAGGCGAACCTTGTAGCGCTTCGTGGAAGACTCGAAATGCTCCGGCTGCGGGACTTCCATGCTCCACTCGCCTGTAACTCAGCCGAAGGTTAGAGGGCTCGGGGTTCTAGCGTTTAGGGTGTAGGGCAGGTAAGAGGGGTGTGGTGGGATAAAGGTCTTATGGGGTGCTTAAGATCAGGGTTTTCATACTTGGACTAGGGTTAGGGCACTACAAGCGTTGAGTATATGGGGATTATGGGGATTATGACAGAGGTTCAGGCAGCTGATGCTTGTTCATGCAGGGATTTCCCGGCTTCATGGAGAAGGCATCACAGCCCCCGAACACTAAACCCTAAACCCTAAACCCTGAACCCTAAACCCCTAAACCCTAAACCCCAAACTCCAAACCCTAAACCCTAAGCAACAAAAGCCCTAGGCCCTTCTAAATATCGCCGGGTCTCCCGGTGGCGTGCCGTCCTTGTCCACCTCCCCGCCCTTGTAGGGCCCCGACTTCTTTTCAGTGGAGCGTGCCTCCGTGAAGGATATCATCTTCATGTACCTGGGCCCGAAAGGACTTGAATCCCCTATACAATCTAAGAAGTTTACTTAATATAGGCTAATGTAGGGGCTTAATAATAGAGAATAGGGTTTGGGGTAATCTACAGTTTGATTACAATAAGGAACCCTTGCGGAATGTCTTAAGCAGTTATATCCTGGTATCATCATGTAGGGGGCTGCAGGGCTAGTCATATAGAGGCCTCGACAGCAGGAATAGAGTTTTGGGGGTATAGAACGTGTACTAGCTTCGTTGAGGAAGCCTAGGAATAATGCTACTGGGATATCAAGCAGAACTGTTTTGTAGTGGCCTTAAACCGTAAGTCCTAAAACTCCAAGAGCCTAGACTCAAATCTCTAAATCCCCAAACGGCAACCCCCCAAACCCTAAAACCTTAAACCCTATAACC